CTGCGTTGGCGTGAGGAGAGGCTGCGCAGGTAAGACTCCACTCATCTGAGCACGGTAGTATGTTGACGCCTCTTCAGATAGGTCGGCATATAAGTCTCCAGCATCGACGCTGAGTGGTGAGTGGCACACTCACACAGTAGGCCGCCACCTGCCATTACATTCACCTCTTGGTTCGATGAGCAATTCTCGAAGGTCGGATGATTGGACGGAATTCGGTCGCCAATCGACCGGATGATACTGAGACCTCGTAAATACAATGGCCAGTGGTCCGAAACAATTAACATATTTCGCCCAGAACCAAGGCCTGTGTGATCAACAGGTAGCATTCCTTAGCCACGAAAGGCTCGCATCTATGACAATGCCTCGCATCTCCCTCCACAAGTAGGTAAACAAACAGTGCCCTTGCCCTTGACCCGTTATCTTGCCACCATCGCCACCAAAGGCCACCATCGATAGGGGTTGATGGTGGCGATGGCGAGCGAAGGCCAGATAGCAGGCGGTAGCCGCAGGCGCAGACATCCGTAATGCCGACAGTCAGGCACACACATCCCCCACTAACAAACGGACATACCGCCATAGCGCAGACAGACACACAGTTCGTAATGTAGCCCGACAGGCAGACAGCTTTAACGCCGACAAATAGACATACAGACATGGCCATTGGCCAGCCATAACGCAGACCGACAGGAAGACAGTCCCCACACCGACATGCGGATATACATTATACAGTCATAACGCTGACAAACAAACATGCAGCCATAATGCAGACCGACAGGAGAGTCATAAACGCAGATATGCAGAGGCACGACTGGGAGATTGAGGCACACATCCGGCCGGACGATGGCCGGACTGGGCGATAAAACACAGCACAGACGCACCGCGCCTCCCCGACCCTGTGCAAATAGAAATAATCCTCCCATCGGCCGGCTAACGGTACAGAGTAATGACAGGGAGGGAGGGTTTTATGACTGACTGGCGCCGGAACCGGCAACGCATCAGATACCAGGCATGAGCGAGGATGGTGGTTACCAGCACCGACTGGATGAAGCCAAGCACCATATCATCTGGTGACTGGTGTGTTATCATCAGAGTCTTCAATGACTGAATGGAAATTGGACGAGAAAAAGCAGACCAAATGAAGATGTCTGTCAGGTGTTTCACGCTCTAACTCGACTGTCACGGGGTGAATGCCTAATATTCATCACCAGCCCGCAGTATGGTAATGCCGCTCCACAGGTAGGTCACTAACATCCCCGCCCGCACGACCTCGAACAGTTCGCCCCATTGATATACCAGTAAAACGCCTTTTGGGCGAAGAACGAGCGAGCGAGATAGTGAGCCCTGCACGTGCGGAACGGCGAGAGGGTACTTCCAACGGGCTTGTGCAAAGCACCCTTCTAACCGGTCGCTAGCGGTGTGCCAAATTTGAACGCAATCGGCCCAGCGGTTCCTCAGATCTGGAAGCGGCATTCTGCACATGCGCACGTGCAAACGGGGTCCAAAATGACTTTTGCACGGCACCCTACTAACCGGTCCCCAACCGTGTACCAAATTTGAGCGCAATCGGCCCAGCCGTTCTCGAGATCTGGAAGCGGCATTCTGCACGTGCGCACGTGCAAACGGGGTCCAAAATGACTTTTGCACGGCACCCTACTAACTGGTCCCCAGCCGTGTACCAAATTTGAGCGCAATCGGCCCAGCCGTTCTCGAGATCTGGAAACGCCCCCTGCACGTGCGCACGTGCAGTAGCACCCTAACCGCAACACATGGGAATGCATTGCCTGGTGGGTGCCTAGTGCCTACCTGTATGCCAAATTTCAGCGAAATCGCCCCAGTAATTACCGAGTTACTGAAATGGGAACAAATTTGGCACCTCTTATTGTTGTATTTTGCACGTGCACTGGGGGTGACCCACATGCTTCGAGAGTATCCTATTTTGGGTAGAAGGGATGCTGCTACCATACAAAAATTACCGGAAGTCAATCGCCCAAGCGGCTGCTGAGATATGAGCCTCTCAAAATCACTACTTTTGCAAACCAGCTTGAACACCCTTGACTTTTCACCAAGGGCGGATCTAGGGGGTCGTTTTGGGGGGGGTCACCAGTCGGCCGACATACCAGGTCTGGTGAATGAATTCTGACGACCGGGGGGGGGGGGGGGTAGGGAGCGAGTATGTCGAGATCAAAAAATGACATTTGATCTTCGTCGTTTATAAGATGAAGTTTTATCGTAAGTCACTCGGCTCAGTAGTTTTAGTTAGTGAAACCCACCTATATAGGAGCGTCGCCAAGGATTTTTTACTGGGGGGGGGGGGGAGGCGGGTCGACCGACTTAAAAACCCAGAAGTAGATATAGTTACCTCACTTTTAGCCTAATGCATTAGTAAATAGTAGCATACAGTCACGATCTCTCTTATTGACCTGTGTATGAATCGGCGGCGCGAAGCGCCGCAAAAATTTGCAAAAAAAAGTTGTCAAAACACAGCTCTAAAACACAAATATTACAACCTTTTTAGCATGCTAGTACAAGCCGGAGTTCCTTCACAGTACACATATGAATTCCGATTCAATTTGACACGGTTGGTGTTATTACAGTCACTGTTATTTCTCTCTTATTGATTGGTGTATAAATCGGCGGCGCGAAGCGCCGAGAAAATTTGCAAAAGAATGTGTCGAAACACAGCTCCAAAACACAAATTTTACCACCCTTTTAGCATTGCAGTACAAGCCGGAGTTCCTTTACAGCACACATATGAATTCTGATTCAATTTGACACGGTTGGTTTATGTAATTACAGTCAAGATTTCGTATTGACCTGTACGTATGTACATAAATCGGCGGCGCGAAGCGCCGCGAAAAATTTGCAAAAACATTTGTCAAAACACAGAGGGGGCCTCCTCTCTACAGAGGACCACCGATCTCTACTGCGGGCCTCCTCTTTTCACAGGGCCTCTTAACTACAGAAGCTACAGGGCCTCCTCTCTACAGAGGGCTTCCTCTCTACTGAGGGTCTCTCCCTTTAAGAGGGCCTCCTTTACAGAGGGCCTCCTCTCTTCAAAGAGCCAGAGGACCTCATCTCTGCAAAGGGCCTCCTCTCTTCAGAGGGCCTCTTCTCTACAGAGGGCCTCCTTTCTTCAGAGGGCCTCTTCTCTACAGCGGGTCTCCACTCTTCAGAGGGCCTTCTGCATTCAGGCGGTCTCCTTTCCACAGAGGGCCTCCTCTCTACACAGGGCCTCCTCTCTACATAGAGCCTTCTCTCTACAGCAGGTCTCCTCTCTACAGAGGGCCTCCTCTTTAAAGGGGTCTCCTCTCTACAGGGGGCCTCCTCTCTACTGAGGGCCTCCTTTCTACAGAGGACCTCCTCTACAGAGGGCCTCCTACCTACTGAGGAGTCAGAGGGGCCCTAGCGGTCAGACACAGACACTAGCGGTTATTCACTGGAGGCCCCAGGAAGTAAGAAGGGCCCTAGCTGTCAGGCTGGTCAGAGGGCCCTGAATGTCCTGACGTGATTTTTGGGATTCCCGTGAATTTCTTTCGCCTCAGACGTGATTTTGACCTGCCAGGGCCCAGGGGCACTAAAAATAAAACAAACAAAATAAAAAATGAAAATAGGACATCACCAAAATTAAGTGACCGAAATCCGTTGAGTTTTTAATTTTGCGTATAGGTAGGGGCACCACGAATTAAATTCATGACCATCCCCTTGGAGTTTTCCTGGATCATCCCCTGGTGCTCGCACGGTTGAGACAAAAACGAGTAAGATTCTGGTCTTCAATACGCCTTTTCACGCAACACGATCCAGAAAAACAAAGGTATTAGCTCAGAAGTGTTTGACAGGTGATTTTGAGCATGCAAGACGGCGTCTATAGCGCATTTAGGTCTTCGGCTTTTGGGGGGGGTCAAATGACCCTCTCAGACCTTTTGGGGGGGGTCATGACCCCGTGGACCCCCCCCAGGATCCGCCAGTGCTTTTCACGTGGCACGTGCCACGACGGTCACTGAGATGTATCAAAAGTAGTCAATTACGGGGTAGAAGGGATTGGGCTACCCAACAAAAAAGACCGCAGGCCAATCGGTCCAGCGGTTGCTGAGATATAAGCCTCTCAAAAGCGTTACAGGCCGGGCCGGGCCGGGCCGGGCCGGGCCGGGCCGCTCATACTGAGATTTTTCCGTTATATTGAAAAGACTCACTTCGCTCGCTGCGCTCGCTCGCTCGTAATCAGTCGCAAGGGCCGTTTGTGGGCCATGCAGTAATACAGCGGCTTCAAGTCCCCATCCCGACTATGTTCCTTCCTTCATTTAGAAACCAAGAGAATTATAAAGGAAAATGTGAAGGAAGCGAGGGTTAGCGAATGCCGGCGGTCCACCTGCTTCAATCATTTTTCACACGTTCACATGCACAGAGAATATAGGTTAACGGTTAAGCCTAACGTACTCTGGCCTCTGAGGATGGCGAACAAACAATGAAGAGACGACCGAATCAGCGGGTAGTACGAGGGCCGCGTGACAACAGACAGGACGGTGCATCAGGGAAACAGCGAGGTTACATAAATTCACTTCCATTTACGGGATGAAAAACGACTGCGGCTGTACAGAGGTCCATGACGCTTTCTCCGGATTAGGAATACCTTAATTATTTTTAATCCGCCTTAATATAATAATTATTATATTAATAATAATAATAATATAATAATTATTTTTAATATTTAAAAGGCCGGGGAATTTCGTTCCCGACTAATTCGATTGACGTCATTTTCAACTGAAACTTGTCCCGGTTTCTATTCACCAGCACACCACTTCCATATCTGATTCGACAGGGGAAATAATACAGGGAGAAACAGTAACAGGAAAACTAGCAGGAAAACCCAATAAACAAACATTCCTTCCATACAACGGACTGAACTTTAGAGATAATCATTCAGAACCCATAAATACGGCTTACAGCGTGTATAATAGACCAATGGCTAACAGCAGAGAATCTAATCCCCTCGCTCCACTTACCCCTTCGTCGCTGTCCTCATCGGTCACCTTGGACGCCTCGGTGACGCCCCCGATGACGTCATCTGTGGTGGCCGGAGCGGTGACGTCATTATCAGCTGTCACAGTGACGGGATCGTCCGTCGCCGGCAGCTCAGTGCTCTCCGGAGCCGGCGGGCTGCTGGCTCGGTCACTGAGGCGATCACCTTGCTCGGACGGAGAACGGCTGCGGAGGGGCTCGCTATCCCCAGTGCCGGGAGCTGGCGGTTCCTCAGTCTCCACCGTCTTCACGGCCTGCGGCTTACCCTCCAGCCCCTCCAGCTCAGCCAGTACCTCCCTCTTCTCCTCCCCCTCCACCTGATCCTCCTCCACCACCTCCTCCTCCACCGGCGGAGGTGAGCTCATCTCCTCCCCAGCGCCGGTCAGACCCGGCTCGTCCCGACCGCTCGGCAGCGGCGACCCGGCCCGATCGGAGACGGCCGAGGAGCGCCGGCTGCTGCCGCTGCTGTGCACGGAGGCTGTGTCGGCAGTGTCGACAGACGGGGCGGCGTCGGCGGCGGCAGGCTCGACAGGTAGCTCCTCGGAGATATCAGACGAGCGGCGAGACACTTCTTTGACCTCCTGGAGCTCTCCAGATGTCTCAGACGAGCGGCGTGTTACCTCTCTGATCTCTTTGTGCTCCTCCGAGGCGGCAGACGAACGGCGCGATACCTCCCTGAGCTCCCCTGAGACCTCAGACGAGCTGCGAGACACCTCCCTGACCTCTCGGAGTTCCTCGGATGCCATAGACGAGCGGCTCGACGCCTCTATCAGCTTCTCAGATGTCTCGGAAGAGCTGCGAGACACCTCCCGGGCCTCGGACATGTGCTCTGTGACCAGCTCAGTCACCTGGCTGGTCGTCTGACTGGTGACCTGCTCGGTGACCTGTTGAGAGGCCTGCTCGGTGACCTGCTCGGTGACCTGTTGAGAGGCCTGCTCAGTGACCCGCTCAGTAACCTGTTGCGAGGCCTGTTCGGTGACCTGTTGCGAGACCTGCTCGGTGACCTGCTCGGTGACCTGCTCAGAGACCTTCTCGGTGACCTGCTCGGTGACCTGTCTGGTGACTTGCTCGCTCGCGTATTCCGACGCATCCTTAGACACTTGCTGTGTAGTTTGCTGAGTGAACTCCTCCACCAGGTGCTCGGAGCTCTGCTCCGACATCTGCTGAGTCAGCTGCTCCGTGACCTCAGTGGTGACCTCGGACGCCTCTCCGGTGACCTTGGTGACCTGTGTCGTCAGTCGGCTCTTGGCTGCCTCTCCGGCCGTCTGTCGGCTGACCTCAGTGACCCGGGTCACTTCATGGTCCCCCTCTTCATCCGACACTTCCCCTCCGTTCGTCTCAAACAGCAGACTCTCCGGCTGGTCGGCGGTGAGACGGGCCTTCAGTCCGGACACCACAGCCGGCTCGGTGTGCTCAGAGAACTCCATGTGCTCGGTGTGCTCGGTGTGCTCGGTGTGCTCCGGCTCTGTGGCGCGCCGGGTGCGCAGCTCAGCCTCAATCAGCTCCTGCAGGCTGGTGTCTGAGCTGAGAGGCGGCGTCAGCAGCGCGCCGTCAGCGCCCACCGACGAGGACGGCCCGTCCGACCGATCCATCGTGCAGCTCTGAAACAGGGGGAGAAAGGAGTCAGCACCAGAAAAGGGGACGTTGTGCTATCATTCATGTTTGTGTTTTATGACTCGCAACGTCCCTACGACCAATTGGTAATGTCTAAGGAAATTTTAAGCCCATCAACTGGTCACACCCCCAGCATGCATTGAGTGCTTAACAAACGTCCAAATATAATCCATCATCACTTCCAAGTGTTCATACATTTTTTAATCAAAAACAATTTGCAACCATTCAAACTGGGCTATCAATCATGTCTCATGCACATTGCACATTCATTCATCGCGTGTAAGTACTGTTAATTTGTATATATTCTGTGAATGGACTCTGTCAGCACTGACCACTAAGGAATGGTACATACGACAAACAAAATCAACCAGCCACCGACCGCTAAGCGACTCCGACCCCGGTGCTGAGAGCTACTCACGGCCCGCTACGGCCCAGGATCGTCGTGCAACTGCACCCCCGGATGAGCGCCGTGCAGCCATGAGTCTCGCTCCCAGCGCCGTGCCGGTCCCGCTCCCCCGATTTGTCATGCCCGCTGACAGCGCGTCTGGCGACTGCACCATCAGTTAGCCACTTCTTGTTTGTAGATTGGGACAGCGCGCCTTTGCAATGCATCATGCCGTGTGTTTATGTGGAGTCGAACTCGGTCATGGCCCGTGTGCGGAGCCGGACGGACGGTTTTTCTCGGTGAGCTGTGTGACCGGGGACGGTGTTCGAGGGACAGATCGGCACGCAGCCTGCCCTCTGGCCGGCTGCGGCCTTGACATCCTCTGCGGCGGCCGTAATGCTGGAATGGCACTCCGAGAGGCCATATATGGCGAGGAGGCGCGCATCGGCCGCGGGGAGTGTTTTTGGGTCAGCGTAGTTAGTCACAAGGCGTAAACAAACTCACACGTCAGCGAACCGTGTTAGCTAAAATAAACGAAAAGCTCAGCTCCTTCTGGCAAAACTACTCAACCATTAGATACCGCCCCCTTCTCCTCCTATATCAGAAAAAAAACAAGAGTTTAGTCACTAGCAAAGGGTGCAAAAGGGTACTATACTTAGCTAAAACAACAGCAGAGCGGCATAGCCCGAGAGATACAAGACCTATTCGACCATTAGATACTGCCCCCTTCCCATCCTCCATCAGAAAAAAAATCAGCCACTGTTACAGGGTGAAAGCGAGGACCATACGCAGTTATACGACCATAAGAAGCAGCACAGCCGCCTGGCCCGAGAGCTGCCATGCAACTATGCCGGTTTCTTCCGTTTTGGCTCGTATCAGCGGTCTATGATCACGTTTACTGTGCTTCCGTGTCTTCCGGCTAGGCCATCTGCACTCGTGGCTTCCGCCCGGACGGAGTTTAGCTTATCTCCCCCGCCTCTGAACATCCTCTGAGCTCATCGGGGTCTGAGCTCACATATCCGTCCCTCCAAAGGGTCATACTACTCGTATATGTAGACGGGTAAGAACTCAGGCATCGTGATACCGAACTACATCACAAGCTGTGGGACAAAAGAACAGAACACGACGAACCCCATATAGGTAATCACCGCTGGAGTTTCTCTCCCAGTGCCTCCTCTGTCACCTACATATCTCCAGCGTTTCGTCCGTCTTTCTAACCATGTCGTCTGTCCCGATTCTCACCGAATACAAATGACAGGCGACGCGGAGTGACCGGCGACTGCACGCTGCACACTGCACAAAAACCTCACGCGGACCAGCCACCCTTCCTCTGACCTGGATACTGCAGAGGGAGACGGCAGAGGTGCGTTTTTGCTCTGTCGCCTGTCCCCGCTCACCGAACTGACCGACTGACCGTTGACCACTGGTTAAAAACTGCAGGTCAACGTGACCAGTGGTCAGCGATCAGTGGGTCAGGTCAGGCAGCCGCGGCTCGCGGTCACCAGTTACCGTTCCGTGAGACACCGAGGGCTAAATCTCACTGTCCACAGTTCAGTAGGGCAGGGCCTATTGGCCACAACTAGTTTTCATTTGAGAGTTCATAGCTGAGTGGCCAGCCGATACGCCTTGATAGTCGGATACGATAGAGGCAGTCTGGCAGAAACTGCACTATGCTGACGATGCTCTGCCGGTGCCTGCAAGGTCTATTGTGTTACTTTTGGGTCCAGACTCAACACTGCCAGCCTTGCGCTGGTTTGGATCGATAAAGTTGCAGCCACTGCCTCCATGCAGTTTGCTAGAAGCACCAACCAACCCCCTCTCCAAACGTCTTGCTCCGTATCTGACACCATGCAGCCCATGCTAGGGACAGAAGCGGAACACAGCGCCAAGACGTCTCCCTCCGCCTCTGCCTTCATTCAGCTGGGCCTTGATTTAGCCTTTTTGGAGAACCAGTGTACCGCGCCCACACATCTCTCCCGGCTCCCATGGATCGGTTACAGCCGGTTACTGCCCGGTCATGGGCGGCGGTCCACAACACAGCGCAATCACCACGGGAGCTGCGCCCAACCAACGTCCACGGTAGAATCACAACCAGCACGACAATTCAGTCGGCCAGCACACCTTTCACAGCAGTCCACAAAGCCTCTTTGACACGTGCTTGTCCGTTCCTGCAGCCCCATTTCAGACACTTCCCGAGCTACCTGTGTGTGTCTGCAGGTGATCTGCCACGCGTCAGAGCTGCCCACGCGCCGGAACAAGGGCCAGGTGAGGGTATGATGACCCCGGACTACGGCAGGGGCGGGCCGGGGGCGGGGGCGGGGCGGCCGATTAGCCGGCAGTTCAGTTCGTTTCCGGCGACCGACTACCACCGGTGATTAACCGGCCAGACGGCGTCTGGTCTCACAGGACCGAGTGTCTGCCGCCACAGACGCGAGAGGCCATCGAACGGTCTGCTGGCGGCGCCACCGACTCGGGACTCGAGAGCCAGACCAGTTCTGCTGAAACAGAAAGCAACACCGCCCTGGAAACACCATGAAGGCTCTGCTTGTTCGATAATGCGACTCAACCCTTGGGGGAATGCCGAATGGGCATGGGGACTTAAACGCCTCGAGGTCTTCGTGATGGATTCGCCATGACTCGGAGCCATGGGGAATGGGTATGATTTCCAGCCGGCTTGTTGTCTGCCGACGGAAACCATTGCCAGTGAAGACGTCATCGGTTCGATGTCATGTCACACACCAGAGCCTGTTACACGGCGCCCGCGAGCGATCCGAGCGGAATGTAGCTGAGGGGCGCCTATTAGCGACGCATCCCAGACAGTAGTACCATCCTGTTATACCTACGGCACAGAGAGCACACGACTGTCTGAAACAAACCCAGGCGTCTGCCGAGACACAGACACCCTTCCGGCCATTGTCCGCAGGGCACGCAGGCAGACAATGCGGCGGACCGTTGGCAAATTCCCCACCGTGGTAAATACCACTTCGGCCGGCGCGAAACTGAGAAAAACTCGGCAGAGCAGCAGCAGTGGACGGAGAATCCCGGGGCCGGCCCGGCAGAATGGAGCGTTCGCCGCGGTGCACCGGGCCAGTCACGCACCCAGACATCAAAGGAAGCCGCCGCGGAGCCAGGCCACCCAGCAACCCGTGCCGTGCACAGAGACAGAGGATTAACCAATCCAATATCCGTCAGAAGGAATCCTCCCATCTACCGTGACGTCTGCCGTCTCGGCCTGTCAGCACTTTTTCTCCGTTCTCTTCAGTCGTATATTTTCCGCTTATCGATCTCGTCGCTCTGCGATTGAGGTCTGTAATCTCAGACCGGTATGGATACGCGCTGTCCGGTGACGGTCGTGTTCGTCCTTTGTTTCATCTGCCTGCTGGCCTGGACGGCTCATGGTCATCAGACGGTGTGTGGTCCCTCACTACTGCTCAGTGCAGCACCGCACAGCTCCGGCCGTGTCGAGCCGACAGCTCTTCAGATGCTGTGTCGGACGGCTGGACCTAACGGCCACCATCCATCGGGCCACGCAGATACCCATTACCCATAACAAACCGCTGAGCTACGGATTTCCGAGTCTGACGGAATACCGATACCTGCCGTCCAATGTTGGAAATAGGGCCCTGCCCTTTGCTGGTCCCAGTCGGGTCCAAACGATTTTGTTCTCCTTTACAAATGTATGCTCCGGCACATGAAATCTCTTAAATTTCCAGCGTGTGTGATGAAAACTGCTATTGTTACGCCTAAAACATGCAGTTATAGCATTGGGAGAACAAATTTTATCGACTGTCACATTTAGTAGGCCAAACATATGAATTTTCCGTTGGAGTGTTCTAAAAGCTGGCCGGTTCTCCGGACATATTTTATTTTCCGGGACCAGGGGCCAATTTTACCAACAGAAAAATAGCCGTCTGCCGGAATTCGTTGCCTAAAGACCGTTTTATATACAGAGCATAAACGGTAAAGCCCTATCCGCTTACGTGCCCATCGCGTTTATGCTCCGTATGTGAAGCTGGCTTTATGCAAAAAAAATCCGGCTGGCGGCTATTTTTCTGTTGGTAAAATTGGCCTCCGGACCAAAATTCACAATTCCAACATTGCTGCCGTCACCCTGTCATCACTGAAAGGAACTTGGCTGCACCTTCTGGGAGATCACAATGGCTGTCACAGCTCCAGCGTCTCCACTGTCTGAAATCGACCATGAGCCGATGGAGGCAGCGGTCGGTGACGGCGGCGGCGGCGGCGGCGGCAGCGATGGCGCCAATGACCGCACCAGGTGCGAGCAAACGTCAACGCACGGCGGCGGTGGCGGTCACCGGCTGACGCTCCCACGTGCTGCTGTGGCCGGGAACACACCCAGTGGATGCTATGGGAGGGTGGCCACACGCCATACAATACAATGTTGTTACAATGCGCTCGGTCAGTGAAAAGGTGACGAAGTATAGGATGTCCACTGTCCAGCACGTATCAACGATGAAAATTGAAAAGGAAGCACGAATCTATTTGTGATGGGGCATGTTGCGTTTCTGTGTGTATTTAGAAAATCATGCTTCAATCCAAAGCAAAAACAAAAACGGTTTCTCACAACTTATTTTCCAAGTCACGAGAAATAATTAAGAAAGGCACGCAGGCGGAAGAACTTGAGTTGAGCTTAGGTCGATCTTAAGGGAAACGGAAAATGTTCAGACGTCGCCTTATATGGAAACGTGTTGAGCTGGAGGGAATAGCATGTTGCAGTACACACCCTTCAAAGGCTAATGCCTTCCGTTAATCCCCCGACCCCTCCCCACCTCACATTCCATCCGAGATGAATCACTAATTCCGGTCGTCCATTTCCCTCCCTCTCACCTTTCTCACCGCTTATCTACTCTTCTGAAATCCTCCCCACTCCCCACCGTCCACCACTCTGTCTCGATCCACCGGCACTGTTCACACTCTGTCCACTCCGATCACTCTCGCCACTCACTCCACAGACAGGGAGAGCGCACACGTCCGCCCCTCGCGCTCGCCAGCCGCGACTGGCCTGGACTGGTCGGCCGCGCCTCTGCGCCGGGCGGCGGGCGACGGCGGGGGAGGCAGACGGTGGGCTGGGGAGGGGGGGGGGCGGACGACGGCCGGCAGACGCCTCGCAAACGATGACGGAAGAACGGGGGCGATGGAGGAAGTGGGTAAGGTAAGGGGACAGATAGCTGAATGCTTATGAGTACTTTGTAATCTGCTCACTATCCAAAATATTCACTCGTCCTTCCGACTCGTGACTCGCTGGGTCGAGGAAGCCTTATACGAGCGGCCTTTCGGGTGGAGCCGACCCCAACGCACGAACACAAGAACGGGGTCAGGCGCAGCGCGAAAACGAGGCCTCTGTGATCCGTCCGACCACTGCCCACACCCCCCTACCCTCACCCGGTGACACAGCGCCAGTGACACACCGACGGGAGCGAGTGTTTGACACCGACTGACACTTCGCAGGCTTCTCCACTGCGGGCCGCGGTCGCCTGTGACCCCGCTCACCCAGCCCCCGCCGGTTATTTCCGAGCATGTCGCCTGCTTACACGGAGCATTCCTGCTTGGATGAGTCACACCGTTTCGGTATACATCTGGTGATATCACGACCGTTTGGAGAAACGGCCGCCAAGCCGCTGAGACGTCGGACGGTCGCCGAGAAGGCAATGTCCAGACAGTAAGCTGGCATTCGGCGAAAGTGAGCTCTCCTCAGGACAGGCGTGCGCAGGACACGTGGCCGCGGCAACCGGTCCTGGCTCCGGCCGGGCCGATTTCCATGAGAAGGCGGGAGCGGGGCGCCAAACTCGACTGCCGTTAATTACCGGTCGGTGAAACGGAGCGCAGATGTGTGTCGCGCACGAGAGAGAAAACGGCGGCCAATCGCGCGGCAGCCGACACAGCGCATGTCAAGTGACCTCATCGCTCACCGAGTACCGAGGTGCGGAGGTGTCTAATTAATCCCTGGTAACCCGTCTGGCACTGGCGGTGATTCAGCAGGCCGCAGTGGTGAGACTGCTGAGGGGAGCGAGCCACGACACCTGAGCCGGCTCAGCCCGCTCTCCCCCTGCCTGGACGGCATAGTGAGCATACCGCCCCGCCCTGGAATGCCGACCTAGACTCCGGAGCCCGGTCCAGTCAGATATTGTCACCGGAGAGTGCCAGATCCAATCGCCCCAACACTGGCACTGTCAGCAATCGATCACGACATAGATCGAAGTCCGGACCTTCCACAGCAAACCAGTCACAGACAACAGCCAGTTCAAACACAGTAGGACGCCTAACAGGCCCCCTCAGGTCACCACGGGTCATCACAGGTCACCTGGCCTAATGGGAGGTCACCGGGTCACCCACACAGTGCATCCCGGCGGTTTTAACTGCAGACCGCTTTCGGCAGCCGGCCCGGGTGTCCGACATTCCTTCACGGCGCCTGTAGAAGCGAGGAACGCCGTTTGACCAAGTGACCACCACACGTCGACTGAAGGCGGAGGGAGGACCAGAGAGGATCAGCTGTGGAGGAATGCGACGGCCGTCTCTGAGTCATTCCAGTCACACCGACACAAACCAGGGAACACCATTAAACGTGTCATGTCAATGCGCTGCCAGAGACGGAGGTAGACAAAGATACATAAGAGATAAGGGAGACAAAGGCCCGGCAGACGCCGGTCGGAATAGCGGCGAACCGTTACAAACTGTAACTGGTACGGACTCCGCACGATTCTGCCAGCCATTCTCGGTTCTCAGCCATTCAAACCAGCTGAGCTAGGTTGCGGGCCACAAAACCGTGAGTTGTCGTTCCGGAGAAGGCAGCCAAGTGCAAATTTCCTGGCTGCGTGTAGTAATTGAGGAGCTGGAACAGTATGTAGTCGCTGGCCTTACCGTACCGGCCGGCTAACTGCCTTGGTTCGACACACAGCTCCCGCACACCGCGGAGATAGCCCAGCCCGCCCCGCTCCCATCGTTCGTCGGTGCCGTCGCCGGTGCTCTGCCGCGGTGCTGCGGTGCTGTTCGCGCCCTGCAGTTCCCACCCCAACTCGCCGGCCTTCGGTCAAAACTACCCCGATCGACCCGAGCCTCTCAGTCCCGTCCGGCGTGCAGTCAGTGCCCGGTGAGTTGTCCAAACCAGCTCCAACTGCGTGCCTACCTCAGCCCACGCCGCTACTCCGCTACACGCGCCGCGGGTGCGACTGATGATTTTCGTCTAGGACTGGTCAGCACCGCACACTGCCCGTGCCGGCAGGAACGGGCACTCTGTTCGCAGAACACCCCACTTGCGGTCCAGCCAGCGGATTCAGACAGAAAACGGAACGGTCACGGCAGACTTCACTCACGCCACGCCACTGGTGAAGCTGAACTTTGTGCCCGAGTTGGTCAGTCTGCTTCACTGGTAAGCGGGACTAAAAGTTCGACGTAACTTTAGCTGGCTCATGCCAAGTTTCCGGTAGGCGGTAGCTAAGAACTAAGATGATCAAGTTCGTTTCAGAAAACCCATGTCTAATTGAATATTTATCCATGAGTTAGGCTTTCCCAAACAGCCGCCGTCCGTCAGTAGGTAATTCATCATTGTTATTATATCACGCAGTCATGAGTATTTCCCTCTCATCGGCTCGGTCTCTCGGCCAAGACGGACTCTTCCATTCCCGCACAGACGGACTCTTCCATAATTATCAGCACAGGCAGACTCTTCCATTTTTAGCACAGACGGCTCCGCGTCCGCTCACCAGTCACTGCCGCGGCGGCCCACCGTGACGGATAGCACCGCACGGCGTCACGGCAGGAGCATCACGACCCGACCGTCACACCGTCACGGCGCGACTCGGTTCTGCCTCAGGAGGGCGGAGGTGAGGCGCCGGGGTCACGGACAAGGTTACAACCATAACCATCTGTCTATAGTGAAGAAATGCTGAGACAAAACGTGATTTCGGTGCCCGACATGACACTAACGAAAATTACGAAAAGTCCTTTCCTGGACAGTGGACAGCAGTGGACAGTGGCCAGCAGCTCAGTTTCTGTGTCTTTGCGTCAGTGTTTCCGAAAATAGAGCGACATCTGAATTTAGAACGAACAGCTAAAAAGATGCTGACGAAGTTAACCCATCTCTGTCCACTCCCGCCCAGTGACACAGTTATGATGAGACCGAGCTGGATAGTGTTTGCAGAACTTACCCCTCCCTCTGTTTTTACCGCCGTCTGCAGCCCCGTCCACCGTCCCCGTCTGACAGTGAGCGGGTCACGCAGTCTCAGAGGTCACGGAGCCGCGCGCTGACACGGACCAGACGCGGAGGAACGGGGTCGGTTTTTGGCAGTGCGCGGCGTCTCGTGATGAGAGGGTGAGGTTGACGGACGTCACTCCCCGCCGACACGCGCGGCAGAGGGGTCCCGACTCCACCGACCGCAGGGGTCCACCAGGGCACGTGGCGGCACTCGGGGCTGGCGTCATTAGAGTACCACGCCGGCGCGGCGGGCGGCGCCAGACACGTCTGTCGGTGAGACGATGGACATAGCGACACGACAGAGAGCACCGCCTCTTTCCAGCAACGGCATGAGCGTGACTTCCATAATGCAACGTCTGTTTAGTCTTAGACGTGACCCGTGCCAACCCAGTCATCAATGTGACCTGCAACAAACATGTCCCATGCCACGTGACCTGCAGCAAGAGTGCTATCCCACACCACGTGACCTATAATAAGCCTATTATCCCATACTCGCGACCCCTTGAGAACCCCGCCAAGGCACACGTGCCGATGCACCCTCACCTCGTGACCTCTGGGAGGCGCGTTTACAATACGCCATAACACTATGCTGTTATGTGTTCCAGCCCTCCGTGATTACCCACGTGTGTGTACCGTAGGTGTTTCCCAATCTTCGCGGGGTTGCAGGCCTCAGGAATTCCTCGCACCCTTCACATCAGTTGCAGCGCCGCTCGGTCCGGTCTCAGCGCCGTGCAGCCGAGCGATACAAATAACGGCGGCGGCGGGACGATGACGGGTCGGCCGATGACGCCACCCCCGGAAACCCGAGCCGTCATCGGCGCTGAGAGCAGGCGGCGCGCGGGAGCCGGGGAGGGGGAGGGGAGAGAGGCGCTCCCATTCTCCGAGCCGAGCACTGACAAACTGGGATCGAGTGGCGGGCGGGTCGTATTGCAGATGAACTCCCGCAGGCCGGCCCAGGCGCTGCATCGAGCCGGCGTTAGAAACCGGGCTCAAATGTCACGTCAGTCGGATCCGGCTGAAACTTGGAATGTGCCTCTCTGCATGGAGACTGTCATGTGATCTATTGCCGATAAGAATCAAGGAAGGAAAAACAACGAAACTTTAGGAACCAGGCATCGAAGGTAGAAATTGTGAAGCTCATGTTGATTGCATGACATGCCCTCTATTCGAGTGCACATAAATAATGCATTGATCCTCTAGTTTATGCGTATTCTGTTATGTTATGCCGTCTTCTCAACAAAAGTCGACCATTTTGACCCAACGTTCCGAGAACCTCTGTCTGCCACCATTCCTCCCTCTGTCTGACCTCGACTCAGTCACCGATCGTCCCGGGCGGGGCAGAGCGAGCCGTCTCCTGTTTCAGCCTGAGCCAACACAGCGGACCGAGTGCAGCCAGCCTCTCCAATCGGTCGGCTAATACAGAGCAGAGCAGAGCGGGACGGTCAGTGGCCGCACATTAGTGCTGATTGAGATCGGCGCCGTCACTGTAAAAGCTGGTCCGAAACAGCGGCTATCGAAGAACGATCAGTCTCGGAGCCAACAGACGCCTACCGTCAACCCAAACGTGGTTCGGACTGGAGCTCGCGGCTGTCGGTCAGTCGAGGAGTGCCTCTGGCTGACGGGTCCGCCGCTCCGCCGCGCTGGCCGCCCGAGTCCGGTCCCGTTTTGTGCGTGCGCCGTGAACCCTGACGCCCGGTCAATTAGTTGGACAGGTGGGTCGCTTGGTCGGGCAGAGTCGGGCAGAAATCATAGCAGCCTACAAAGTGGACTCAGAGATATTCGGCCATTGATGA